TATTAGCTGGGCGTGGTGGCGGGCACCTGTAGTCCCAGCTACTCAGGAGGCTGAGGCAGGAGAATGGCGTGAACCTGGGAGGCGGAGCTTGCAGTGAACCAAGATTGTGCCACTGCACTCCAGCCTGGGCAACAGAGCAAGATTCCGTCTCAAAACAAAACAAAACAAAAAACCTACATTTTCCAGATTCCCTTGTAGCTGGGTGTGGCCACATGGTTAAGGTCTGGCCAGTGAGCTGTGAGAGACTCCTGGGTTGTGTCCTTCAAGGGATGGGCTTGCCTTTTCTTTTTTTCTTTCTTTTTTTTTTTCTTTTGGGACGGGGTCTCACTCTGTCACCCAGGCTGGAGTGCAGTGGTGTGATCACAGCTCACTGCAGCCTCGACCTCCTAGACTCAAGCAATTTTCCCACCTCAGCCTCCCAAGTAGCTGGGACTACAGGCACACACCACCGTGCCTGGCTAACTTTTTAAAAAAAAATTTTTTGTAGAGACAGGGTCTTGCCATGTTGCCCAGGCTGGTCTTGAACTCCTGGACTCAAGCGATCCTCCCGCCTTGGCCTCCCAAAGGGCTGCAATTATAGGTGTGAGCCACTGCACCTGGCTTATGCCTTTTATTGCCTCTTGCCTACCTCCTGCTGTTTGGAATGTGAAAGCAAGGCTGGAACTCCATCTTGGACTATGAAAAACAAGGACTTCACCTAAGGGATAGTAGAGTGGAAAGACAGAAGCAGATGGATCTCACATTTCTGTGGGGCCCCCTTACCATCTCTGAACTTCCTACATATGAACTTCAATGGGATAGATAAACTTCTAGCATGTCGAAGCCTCTTTTACTTTGGGTTTCCATTGCATACATCCAATCCTTAGCCCTAACTAATAGCACCTACTCTGTGCCAGGCATCACATGCTGGTTTGTCTCAATCAGTGTCCCCAGAGGCCAGCATGAAAGAAGAAAGGCAGGCTTATGGGCCAAAGTCACAGAACTAGAAAGTGGCCAGGGAAGAGCAGTCCTTGATCTGGACCCATCACAGGAGGATCCAGGCCACAGGTCTGTGGTAGCTGCATTCCTAGTTTCTACCGAAAGCCATAGGACACAAATGCGCCTGGGTTTGAATCCTGCTCTGACGCTTGCAATGCTGTGTGACTTTAAGCAATTGGTTTCATAACTCTGAACATAATCTTATCTTACGGTTTAGTTGGAAAGCTTAAATAAGACAGAGATGATAGCGATAATGTGCCTGGCACATTGTGGGTGCTAAATAAATATCACAGCCACTTTGGGACAAGTCCCAGTGGCCACCCAGGGGAATTAGGAGAAAACCGAAGGAAGACAAGGACCTGTGAGACAAAGGGAAGAAGGGACAAGGCTGGGGGGAGTGTCTTACTCCTTCACTTCCACCCATCCTGGCCTGTGGCGAAGGACGTCCATGAGTGTGTTCATGAGGGTGGTCTTGAACCGGATTGATGCTCTCTGCTCTCTGCAAGACAAGGCAATGAACATTTGCTCAGGATCAATGATTTTCCTAGGGTGGCGCAGGGAGAGGAAAAAAGTGGGAGGAAGAGAAGTCAAGTTCCATACCTGGAAAGTTCCACACTGTATTTTAGAATTTAGCATTAGAGCATGATAACACTTAGCATAATCAAATTGAGAATTATAGCATCTTCGAATCATTGAAAAATAATGATCATTGTATCCAAGCCTACTACGTGCCAGGCATGATCTGGTTGCTTTCCATGTGCTATGACTAATCCTTACATGAAATGATAAGTATTTGCAAAGCCCTCTCCTGGCAATCATCTGGGAAGATGAAGCGGATGTACTTTTTCCTATTCCTCCTACTGATACAACTGAAAACTCAAGATATTATCTATAAAACAAATACAAGACGAAAAGATAGAGAAGAGGGCAGACTGGCTGGGGACTTCAGGACCACGGGAACTACAAGGTGGTGAATTCTCTGAGTTTCCTTTTTATCTCATACAGTTCAGATATGGAGATGAAAAGCCACCAACCCAGAAATGCCAATGGCCACAGACGATAAAGCTTCAACAAAAGCACCCCGTTTCTAGCCAAAGGACCAAGAAAGGAGCAGCCTAGCCAGGCAGAAGACTTGGACATCACTGCTCTACTCCAGCTGGATCCCCAAGAACACATCTGTGGCCCACTCCCAGTGATGCCAGCAAAGCCTGGGTAGGGAGTCTAGACTTCCCCTGAGGTTGCAGCAGGGCACCCAACACCCCTGCCCGGTGCTGTCAGAGAAGGCCACAGACATAGCCAGGCTTTCACCTTTGCCAGGCGGTAATGAGGCTTCCACCCCCACTGAGCAGTGGAGACCACGTGTGGAGCCTGGACTTCCTCCCCGACCTGGCAGTAATGAGGTGCCCTCCCACTCTGGGGTGATGTTAAAGAGGGCCTAGAGGAGAGCTGGAAATCAATACAATCGAAAACAGAAAAACAGTATAGCCAAACGGTAAAATAAAAGGCAAGTTCTCTGGAAAGATCCATAAAATCGACAAGCCTATTTGTCAGTAAGACTGACAAAAGAAAGACCCAGCTACCCAATAAGAGGACCGAAACAGAGGCTCCTGCTATGGAGCCCGCAGGTATCACAGCCACAATGAGGAAATGCTCTACACACCTACATTTGACAGCTTAGATGAAATGGACCAATTCCTCAAAAAGCACAATTACTACAACTCATCCAATATGAAATAGGTAATTTGAATAGCTCTATAGCTATTAAGGAAATTGAATTCATAATTCAAAACCTCCCAAAAAAGAAATCTCCAGGCTCAGATGGTTTCACTGTAGAATTTCCCCAAATATTTGAAGAAGGATTAACACCAATCCTACACAATCTCTTCCAGAAAATAGAAGAAGAGGGAGAATTTCCAAATTCAATTTTGCCAAGTTAGTATTAACCTGATATCAAAACCAAAGACAGTACACAAGAAGTAAACCACAGACCAATATCCCTTATGAATATAGATGGAAAAATCCTTAACAGAATGCAATCAAATAGATTTCAGCAATATATAAAAACGATTATACACCATAACCAAGCAGAGTTTATTCCAGCAGGCAAGGCTGGTTCAATATTCAAAAATTAATCAATGAGCCAGGCATGGTGTCTCGTGCCTATAATCCCAACCCTTTGGGAGGCTGAGGCAGGAAGATTACTTGAGGTCAGGAGTTCAAGACCAGAATGGCCAACATGGTGAAATCCCATCTCTACTAAAAATACAAAAATTAGTCAGGTGTGGTGGTGGGCACCTGTAGTCCCAGCTACTCAGGAGGCTGAGGCAGAAGAACCGCTTGAATTGGGGAGGCAGAGGTTGCAGTAAGCTGAGATAGCGCCACTGCACTCCAGTGTGGGCGACAGAGACTGTCTCAAAAAAAAAAAAAAAAGGTCATTAACATACTAAAAAGGAGAAATCACATGATCATATCAATTGATGCAGAAAAGGCATTTGACAAAAATTAAACACTCATTCATTTAAAAACTCTGAGAGGAACTTCGTCAACTTGATAAAAGCATCTAAAAAAACTCGAGCTAACATTATAATTAGTGGTATGTGAAAGTTGTCAGATTCAAAATGGAGTCACTTATGTCAGACCCTGGCAAAATAGGGCCGGGGGCCCGGCGAGGTGGCTCACGCCTATAATCCCAGCCCTTTGGGAGGCCGAGGCGGGTGGATCATTTGATCATTTAAGGTCAGGAGTTGGAGACCAGCCTGACCAACCTGGTGAAATCCCGTCTCTACTAAAAACACAAAAAAATTAGGCCGGGCGCAGTGGCTCCTGCCTGTAATCATAGCACTCTTGGAGGCCGAGATAGGCGGATCACCTGAGGTCAGGAGTCCCAGACCAACCTGGCCAACATGGTGAAACCCCGTCCCTACTAAAAATACAAACATTAGCTGGGTGTAGTGGCTGGCGCCTGTAATTCCAGCTACTAGGGAGACTGAAGCAGGAGAATCACTTGAACCCGGGAGGTGGAAGTTGCAGTGTGCTGAGACTGTGCCACTGCACTCCAGCCTGGGCAAGAGAGTGAGACCCTGTCTCAATAAATAAATAAATACATAAATACATAAATAAATACATGAATAACCTTACTGTCCCAGAAGTCAGAGGGACTGAAATGGGTTGGCAGGGCTTCATTCCTTTTGGAGGCTCTATGGGAGAATTTGTTTCCTTGCCTTTCCCAGCTTCTAGCCAGGTATGGTGGCATGTGCCTGTAATCCCAGCTACCCAGGAGGCTGAGGCAGGAGAATCGTTGGAACCTGGGAGGCAGAGGCTGCAGTGAGCCGAGATCACGCCACTGCTCTCCAGCCTCCGCCCCATGCTCTTAGCCGGGCATGGGGGTGCACACCTGTAGTCCCAGCTACTTGGAAGGCTGAGGCAGGAGAATCTCATGAACTTGGGAGGCAGAGGTTGCAGTCAGCTGAGATCCCACCACTGCATCCAGCCTGGGTGACAGAGTGAGACTCCATCTCAAAAAATAAAAAGTAAAAAAGTAAAGAAACAGAGCCAGGGAAGGTCATGAAGGGAGGATTCTCATGTATGGGTTGCCAGATAATAAGAACCATCACAAGAACATTTTCCAAACCACAGCTTACCACATGAGACACAAGTACTGCTAACAGCACAAGGGCAGCTAGCAGCTCACAGAAGAATACTAGCCTGACACTGTTTCTCAGGCCCAATCCAAAACTGCAAGGGCCTAACAAGAACTCCAAGACTCCAAGTCCTACCTAGCAACTACTGACACTCACCAATCTGCTACTGAACTCGCCAGCTCTCATAAAAAACCCTGCTAGCACCAGTGAACTTTCTTTTGAAACAACTTACGTAAATCTCCTCTTTCCCCAGGAGAACCCTAATCTTTTCCTTTGTTCTCAGACATGCTGGGGGCCATCCTAGTCTATATGGACATCCTAGATTGCAGTTCTACTTCTTGTATGTTATTCCCAAATAAAACCTTTTTACCTGGCGATTTGTCTCTATTTTTTTATGTTGACAGATGAAAAACTGGAGTTGGAGACTAGCCTGGGCAACATAGTGAGACATTGTCTCTAAAAATAAAAATAAATTAAACAATAATGGGCACTGCAGCCCCACCTAGTTCAAACACTAACAAGCTCAAAATGGCAGTGAAGGAGACTGGACTGGAGTGCACACAATTTAATTAAAGCTGCAGCCCAATCCATGTTCAATTCAGCTTTAGGAGGAATCTGAAAGATCAGCCCCTAACCCTAACCGCTAGACAGAGGAAGGAGCTTACATACTCTATAAAGTGTGTGTATGTATGTGTGTGTATATATAGACTAAAATTTATTATATATAATTGCTTTTCATACACAAGATCCAGAGTGCAGTTCTAAAAATATAACACATGCAATAGCAAAGTAGGAAAATGTAATACATAATCAAGAGGAAAAATAGCCAATTGAAATAAACCCATAAATGACTCAGTTATCAGAATCATTAGAGAAGGAATTTAAAAATCTCTATAAATATGTTAAAGGATTTATGGGAAAAGATGGATACAATGTGTGAATAGATGAGTTATTGCAGAAAAGGACCAAATGGCCAAGTGGCTCACACCTGTAATCCCAACACTTTGGGAGGCTGAGGTGGGAAGATCACCCAGGAGTTCAAGACCAGCCTGTGCAACACTGTGAGACCCCATTTCTACACAAAGTTTTAAAATTAGCCAGGCATGGTGGCACGTGCCTGTAGTCCCAGCTACCTGGGGAGCTGAGGTGGGAGGATCACTTGAGCCCAGGAAGTTAAAGCTGCAGTGAGCCATGATCGCACCACTGCACTCCAGCCTGTGTGACAGAGTAAGAAACTGTCAAAAAAAAAAGAACCAAATGGAAATTCTAGAAGGGAAAAATATAATATCTGAAATTAAAAGTTCAATGGATGTGCTTCACAAGAGACTGGGCATTGAGAAGGAAAAACCATACATTTTATAACAGTCCAGCTGAAATTGTTCAAACTGAATTAGAGAAAAAATTTTTACATGAACAGAACCTCAGCGACTTGTGAGATAATATCAAGCAGTCTAACATACATGTAACTGAAGTTCAAGAAAGAGAGGAAGAAGAGATAGGACAGAAAATATTTTTTGAAGAAATGATGGCTAAAAAGTTTTCCAAATTTGATTAAATTATCAACTCACAGATCCAAGACGCTCAATTAACCCCAAGCAAGATAGACACAACATAAACTACACCCAGGTAAGCCATAGCCAAATTGCTGAAAAACAGAACAGTCTCAAAAAAAAATAAAATAAAAACAGCCTGAGAAAAAAGACACATTGCATAGGGGAGTGGGGGGGAGGGGTGGAGAGTGGGAGTGGAGGACAAGAACAGCTGACTCTGGCCAGGCACAGTGGCTCCCGCCTGTAATCCCAGCACTTTGGAAGGCCAAGGCAGGTGGATCACCTGAGGTCAGGAGTTCAAGACCAGC